TCCCCACTTCAAAACATTTGCCTCGTTGGCGACCACTTCCGCTCGCGTGCACTTGGCGTGTGCTCCTCGCATATGTGTGCGTGTGTACCTGTAAATGTGGGACTGTGTGTCATGCGGCTCTCATTGCCATTTGAAGCTGTCCCCGTCTCACAGTCGGTAGTCTCCAGGCCCCTCCCCTGGCTACCCACACCCCATCCCCAGAAAGGTGGCCGCCCTAGTGTGCATCTGGAGCAGAACGCTACAGTGGTTCATCAAGAAACTCGTGTCTGGAAGCTGGCACTACTCTTCCCTCCAGCACAGAGAAAGAGGCACGGTAGTGTTCTCTATTTGTCCATATCTGTAGTTTTAGTGAGCCTGCCGTCCGGTCTCAGTCTGCCCTGTTTTCTAGGCTGTACAGGTGCCAACTTGGACCCTCGAATGACCCCAAACAGGTAAGAGGGAAAAGTGACACCTGACGAATCGCACTCTCCCAGGCCTGCTCTTAATTAGCCGTGCCTCTCCATGTGAACCGAACCAGAGCTGTGTTTCAGTTTGTTGCCTCGCCTTTCTCCATGTTTAGGTTTTTCTTGTGGCCAAATCTTAACTCTGCACACAGAAACGCACACACACCCATGTACATACACGCACCTAACAACCCCAAACGCTGTCCGTTCTACTGAGAATTAGGACAGGCGCCTCGAATATCATACTTGGCACCAGGATTCCATTTCCTCACATTGGCCAGCCACTACCTCACCCTCACCTTTTATTGTTTACTTTCTCACAAGTTTGTTCTCTCCCTTTCAACAACAAAAAAAAAAAACTTCCTCTCAGGAAACAAAAACAAATGTAATGGAAAAAAAACTCTTCCGTTTTATTTTTATTAATTTTTTTTTTTTTCAAATTCAAGGCACAATGTCTATCCATATTCCAATCCGTCTTTATCCATTCCCGAGGTTCAGTGTGCGATCATAGTGGACCGTCTGCTCATACGACCCTCCCTACAGCTTACTTCTCACCTGTCTGCACGGTAACACTGTCAGGAGACGCGTCTGTTTTGGTTGAGTGAGCAACTGCCAAGTCCAAACCAGTGATAAACAAGGAACAAATATAACAAAACAGAACAAAACGAAAAATAAGGACAGAAATCATGATAACCGTTCAAAAAGGAAAAGAAAAGAAAAGGGAAAAAAAACAGTCCCGTCCTGTTTCGTGTTTCAGTATTTTTGAAAATCAAGTCATATTCACCAGCTCTTTTTTGGCAAGCTAGTTGTTCTCTTTTTTTTTTCTTTTAAATAAGCACTACGTACTGATAGATAGTATAGCATACACCATTAAAGTGTGTTTTTAAGTAGATGCGTTTGTCGTTTTTTTGTACTTTTTCACTCTCATAGTATGAATTCATGTATTTTGTCAGATACTTTTTCACTCATCTGTTTAAAGGTTTAAGTTAATGCAAGCAGGGACAGAGTTTGCCATGGAGTCTTGCTCTAGACTTGTGTACGCCCAGGCACAAGGCCTTCGCTTTATGAGACCCCATTGACCAAGGTCAGAGCCTCACTGGCAGAGGTTACGCCTTTGCTGGGGGAACGGTTGGCGGATGTTCGCTCATCCTTTATGATGCTGGTCCCATTCTCCTGTGGGTAGACATGAAAACACAGAAAAGGTCAAGCGATGGAATTTATGTCACTAAAACCGTACACTGAAGTCAGGTTTGTGTTCCCATCTGTACCTTGGGCTCAGGGCAAGTGTGGTTTTCAATCTGGGGCAGGTTCTGTCTGCTCTGGGACTCGGCACGAGAAATGTAATCAGCGACAGTCACTGGAAAATATTGGCATCTGTTAGCCTCAAGTACCTTGTGTATATACTGTAGTACAGATTCGAATTAACTTGCAGCAATTTAAAAAAACAAACCAAAAAAAAAAATCAATATTGCTCACTCAGCTTAGTTTAAATGGGAGTGACTCCAGTTTATACTGATGAAGAATATATTGTTCAATGCAAAAGCCGCAAGGTAAACAAAACAATCAGCAGCTCACCACTCTCGGTGGGCTGTCGGTCACGACTGGCTGAACCTCCGTCCGGGCGACTGCCACGGTTGCGGCGGCGGCGGCTTCGGTTGCGGCGCTGAGGCCGGGCCTCTTCATCTAAGGGAGAAAAGAGTAAAAAAAAAAAAGTTTGCACCATTTTTTTTCCTATGTAAGCACTGACTGTTTAACCAGAGTCGCACCGTGCACCTTGTGATTTCTGCACAATGCTGCGTTATGGCTAATATGAGAGACAAACACTGAAGCTCTCACCTAGTCCATTCTCGCTGGGGCCAGCCTGGCCGTCCGACTCTGCAGCAGCGTCCATCACGCTGGGTTCCTGGTCATTGCGGCGACGCCGGGAACGCCTGCGACGGTCTGCCCCCATGCCTTCCGTAAGGTCCGACTCCGCCAGCTCTCCTTCACCCTCCAGCAGGGAGTACGGGTTACTGTCTGGGTCCCTCAGCACTAACACAGGAAATGAATAAATGAAAATGACACACGATTAAACAAACTTCCAACGTGATTGCATTGATTTTATTTCCATTCCAGAGTCTGTCATACTGGATAAGGTAGGCGTGTTTTTACATGTAATCAGCAAACACCTCATGTGGGAACCCCACCTGTTATACCCCCCGTACAAATGAACACCTCTCAGCTGCCTCCAGCAGAGAGTACAGAACAGCAGCTGTTTTTTAAGGTCCTCTCCTTCCGAATGGAAAAGTCCTGAACTCAAGACCAGTCACTGTTTTTCGGGTGAACTCCACAACATGTCAAGGTCAAAGCTTTGCTCCTATAGTGAAATAATTCCTTGTTGCACAAAATACGACCATACAGTATTTCACAACTTACTGAAAAGTTAACTTTTAATGCATGGGTTCCCACACTCCAGTCCGCAGACTGGTAACAGTCCATGGGCTATTTGGTATCGTGCCGCAGTGGGCCATAGTGAAAGAATTCACACACACACTGATACTAACAGAATAAAATAATTTTTAAAAAGTCTTATTGAAAATGTATGAATCCTTAATCAATTCAGAGTTGCTTTACTGGTCTGTGGTACAAAAAAGATTGGGGAACCACTGTTTAATGTACAAGCACTAATGAGCACTCATATTAGGGGGCAGTGGTGGTTAAGGAAGTAGACTTGTGTCTGGAAGGTTGCCGGTTGGAATCCAACAGTCACAAGGCGCCACTGAGGTGCACTGAGCATGGCACCACCCCCACACACTGCTCCTTGGGCGCTTAGCTTGAGCTGTCCCCTGCTCACTATGGTGATGGGTTAAATGCACACACACACACACACACACACGTTTCGTTGTGTGCGGTGGTGTGCTGTGCACAACCATACTCAGGGGAAGGCACTCACCTGAGCTAATGGAGTTGGAAGGCTTCGATCCCGGCCCGCCACGACCTCGTCCTGTGCTGGAACCCCTGCCTCTGCCGCCCCGTCTGGAGCCTCTCTCGTCTCCCCCAATTCCACGGGGTCTCTGGTCACGGTCAAGAACATCCTCCGACTCAGAAGCGTTGGACAGTTCAGAGTTTGTGCCTAAATCGAAGCGATTGTAAACTTGTGCACTCAGATTTAATTATGACAAATGAAACATATCAACAGGACTCTTACCATATCCAGAGTACTGGCTGTTGGAGGCTCTACGCCCTCTGCCACGTCCCCCATAAGAGCGACTGGCATGAAGCGAGTTGCTGCTCTCGTCAGTCAGGTAGCCCTTCTCCCGTTCGGTGCCCGGACCCCCAGTTCGACCGGGAGCCGCGCGGTAACCCACACCAATCTGACGAAGCTGTTCATCAATTTGGAGACGCTCCATGCGCAACTGCTCCACCTCCTGCAAATCAAAGATGTGGAGTGCATAAATTGTGAATTTCATTTCCTGTTAGAACTTTGAATTCCACTCTTATATTAACAACCCAATCTACATCACTTATTCTTTTAAAATTTTACTATATCACACAAACGAAAAAGATTATTCTGTAAATTGGTGACAGGATAGTTCTAGCACTTCCTGCTAGAATGCCCTCTGGCGGTGGAAGAGAAGTCCATAGAAAAGCCGCATGGTTCAAAGAGTGGGGAAAAAAGTAGCGGCGTATAGTCCGGAAAATACGGTATGCAGTTTCTTAATATATCAAAGAACACTAGTTTTTATTTAATACGGATTTGTTTACACAAATAAAATACTGGTACTTTCATGGTTGATCCACAAAGGAGCATCTTTTTTGTGAGCCACCACAAGGTTAGACTCTTTTTGACAGAACACCCACATCTGCTGTCACTGATCAATAAAAATGGTGTTTAAAAACACACTTTTATAAACAAGCTTATACTTCACTGCTCTCTTCTTCTAAACCTGCAGTCCAAGTGTGGCTTACTGCAAATGGTTTGTTTACAGGCTCAAATGTTTTCAGCCTCTGACGATGTTGTCCAAAAATTCATTGGGCGTAATGCCCTAGGTTTTAATCTTACTCAGTCGAGAGTAACCTGTAAAGCAGTTGTGGACCACTGAGTAAACATAATTGTTGGAGAATATCAGGCATCATCTAGATGGCATGTCCTATAATCCACCAATGTAGACAAGATTAATTTCCAGGGAATCCTCGGGACCATGACATGTCTCTTAATGTTAACCACAGTTATGATTCAGCCATGATTCAGTGTCATGTGTGAGGACTTCTCCCATCAGTTCTCGTATTTTCAACGAGCCAAAATTTCCCATTTTATATATGGGACTTTATAGATGAGAAAGAGCAGGACATTTATATTAAATGGAAGCAGTGCACTCCAACAGCACTTTTTATTTCATTTCAAAGGGCTGCGTGGGACGGGGGTTTAGGGGGTGGGCGTCTCACTTCAACGTGTGACAGCTGCCTCAGCCAACGACAGCTGAACCTCCGGGGAGGTGTGAGGAAAGCGAGGCAGAGACGTAGCTATTTTGGGAAGCCGAGGGTCCAGATAGCCGGTAATCTAAACTCTAGCGTACCCCTCACCCAGCCTCAGGGAGGGGCTATTTATAAAAGCATATGAGGTAAGGACAAAATGAGGTGCCCTCAGCAGCTTTTCTCATGTGGTGCAAGACAGGGAGTGGGGGTAAACAGGTGACCACTGTGACATGACCCCACGCACATACGACCATGCTTCTCAAACCCCAGCCTCTCCCCAGCACCCACGTGCCAATCACTTTTATGAAACGCGTTTCTTTTAACCCATAACCACACACTCACCGCACAAGACATGAACAGTAAAGTGCTGTACCTAAAATGGGAAAGCCATAAAACCAGGAGATTGACACTGACAAACAAGACGGGTGGCTTGCATTGCCACCTACTGGTGTACGTACCTGGAGGTACGACACGTGGTATTCCAACAGAGCCTGAGCGTTGCTGATGTTTTCTTTTGTTCCTACAAAGACGAAGGGAACCATGCCCTGATGAAAACAAAAGTGGAATGGACAAGAAGAATTTAGTGTTGTGTTGAGGACAACTTTTATACATTAAATTGAATTGTTGTAGACATTATACATTTAATATAATGACTTACAAATACTTCATTTTACTACAAGCTGCAAAGTACAAGAACCAAACACAAAAATGTACAGCCAAATACACACTCTCTAAGAGACTACTTAGAGTACTACACATTGAAAAAACACAGACAAAAAGGGAATTGGGAGAATGCTAAAGCAGGCATGGGTGTATCCCCTGCTGTATATTGGTTTGCATTTGGGAAAGGTAAAGGTGAGGGGTGTAAGCTGTGCGGTGCAGAGGGAAAGGGGTTCAACTAGGAGTGCGGCCGATCGGTCCATTCACCTCTTTGGTGCTAGCAGTGTCGTCCCTGCCAGCCCCCTGCCTGCCTACCTCCTCCCGGGGAAGCTTTTTGTCATTGTCTCCCTCAATCCTGACGCGAACCACGCCCGATTTGTCCACAATCTCCTGGATGACTTTGCCGTTCTTGCCGATGACTTTTCCTGCGGGAGAAATAAGAGGCATCAAAGAAGATCGATGTAACGAAGCAAGCCCGTTTAAACAGGAAACTTTTGAGGACGATGAAGTGTCGCCATCAAAATGAGCTCCTCCAGAAACACCTAGCTCTCTTACCTACAAGGTTCCTGGGTACCTGAAAGTAGTCTTCTTTAAACTCAAGATACTCTCTCGCCTGTTTCACTGCCTCTGGGGACTGTGACAACACAACACATAAAAATATTAAATACTCATTTATCCATTTCCCACATATCAGGACGAGTGCAGAGATTGACTATATGCAGTGTACCTCTCCGTAAATTCTGAATGTGCAGCTTTCCTCCTCCAGTTCGATTGCTGTGACACCAGGCACTTTCCTAGCCTGCTGGATGTTGGCACCGTGGGAGCCGATGGCCAGTCCCATCAGGTCCTCCCTGACCTTTACCTCCTCCTGGTAAGCAGACGCTAACTGCTTGCTTGTCTAAAAGGAACAAAAATGTTCTGAGTGCATGTCCAGATGAACCACAGGTGTTGCAAAGGACTGTTAAGACGTTAAATCTACCTCCAAATGTTTGGTGGCTTCTTCGTTGCGGGACATGAGCATGAGCTTGGTACGAATGCTGCGGAAGTGCATGTCACTCAGGAGGGTAGCACGTTTCGCTGTGGTCTCATTTGTAGACTGTGAAGTACACAGAAATATACTTTTTTTTAAATAGTTACAGAGAGTAACAAAGAGTTACAAAACATACCTGTCACTTTTACATTATTTTTGGTTTGTAAATAAGTCAGGAAGTGAAACAAAGAGGCACAATGACCTCCTGACTTGAAATTCCAGGGCACATACATACAATTTAACCCGTCACATAAGAGCAGTGTATGAAAATAAAGAAGTTTAGAAAAAATGTGATGACCATGTGTTTGTGGCATGATTACAGGAGTCAAGCCACATGATTTTGACCTGATCAATTTTAATTCAGAAGTAGAAACAGAAAAGACCCAATCCGTTTAAAGCTGGATTTTTGTAGTTTTGTCACTGTAACTCCAACGTTACCCATCTCTGGCACCAGGTCTAAGTTCCTAACTTTGATCAGATGCAGCCATTATTGTAATTGCGGCACATTATGGTACTCACCAGCAGAATGAGTTCATGTGTTGGGGCATTGTAGAAGATGCAGTTGGCTCCGATAGCTTTCCTGAAGTCTTTGTGAATGTTGTCATTTGCACAGCTGTGAAGAAGGACACAGTCCACCACACGGTCAATATCTTATGATTCATTTTGAAATGATCTTGGAAAACGACTTACGTCGAGTTCAATATTGATGCGGGTTAAAATGCATGACGCCGAACGATGACACTCACATGTCTCGCAGGTCTTCTGGAACAGAAATTGGGACTTTAAAAAAGGAGTTCCGTGAGGAAGGGCTGTTTGGGTTTAGTGGCCTGATGCGCTCTGCTGTGACAATCTCGTTGTATGTGGCGTCGCATGCTGCGTATTCAATTACGTAGAACTGTGGGGAAAAAAAGCAGAAAGGAAATGTTTTTATCAATACCATTAAAAAAAACAAACTGCTGAATAGAATGCATTTCAATCCTTACAATTTACTGCTACTGTATTTTTTCTTATGGTTTTCTATCATCATAAAAAAAATGCTTTGATATAAGAAAATACATTCGGTAAATACCTTTAAATCAAAATGTTCTTTTTGCTCATTTGTCTTGATCTAAATGTGAGGTGACGTAATAGAGTAATGCAAAAATAAAATACATAGACAAAAATCAGTTAGAGGTCAGAGGACACGCTGCTCACTCTACTCTCTGATGAAGGAACATCATTAAAGCCATCAGTCAACACTAGACATTCCTGCAGTCTCTTATCAGACTGCTCCAAATAACAGATCCACATCAGCAGCCAGTTCTGTGGCTGAGTACGGCTGCTAAGCTGTCCTGTCCATACCCCACTGACCCACAATTCAATCTGCAGCTCTTGCTGGTAAATCACACACACTCCTCTCCCCCCCTCCCCTAGCCTCTATCAACACAAGCCTGGGCTGGTCCTCACATGACGCTTTACATTTAGAAGAACTGGTTTGACTGTTTTCAAGGCTCCAGACATGTGAGGAACTGGTTTGATGTCAGCGCTTTATTTTGCGTTTTAGTGTGAGGGGGTTTAAACTGTGCACTGGTTACGACTGGCTCCCAAAAAACAACTAAATGTAAATGTAATACACAGATCAATTCTGGTCAATTCAACTGCATGAAATAAAATCTAATATAAGGTTATGGCTTCAGGTCATAAAAGACATAGTGACCATCCATTATCCATATTTATTTAATGCAAGTCAGGCTAGTGTTTACTCTCTCTAGAAAATACTCCTATCATCAGAGCTCTATAAATATTTACTGGAACATCAGGCTGCTATTACTTTTGACATGCTAATACAGAGCGCATGCAGACACTGACAGAAAAGACGATAAATGAGAAAAGAAGTTAAGACAATAGCATGTGAGGTTAGACATATTTAGTAACAGGTAAGGGTAGAGGCAGGATTTCACCTAAAGTAGTTAGAAACAAATGAGGGTGAAAATAGAATATTTGTTATTTTTCATGACACGTCTGGGAACCACTGACCTCCCCCTTCATCATCCTGACACGTGCCAGCCACCAGCCACATGGCTCCTGTTCATTGGCCCTGGAGTAAACCTGTAGAAAGAAGCCCGTTAATAATTTCAAACAAAAATGATTGGTGACTGCTGCATCAAAAACCCAAAGCCACAAAGCAGCACTCACCTCCACCTCCTCTCCTTCGCCGATATCCTTGTTGTAATCGGCTGGAGGAGGCAACCGTACATCGCTGAAGGGCAACTGTCTCTCTGGCTGCCAGCTATAAAAGACAACAGTGAAAACAAAAAATCTCTCTTTTTTTGCTCTTCACCATCAAACATAGATTAAACTGGTCTTAAATTACAACTCAAGCACTTTCTACATTCAGATTTTCTAATGCCAACTGGGGCTATAATGATGTGGCTGTCCTTTACATTGGTGGTTGGTTGGACAAGTACTTGCTTCGAAAATGTTTTAAACTTCTGTTAGAAACAAAGCCCTCATTCGTTCACACCATGCACTGTGAGCTACTCCAGGGTCGCCATGTGCTTAGGGAAAGTAAAAGGACGGGGAGGGGACTGAGAAAAAAAAAAAAAAAAACTAAAAATTGACACAGGCCACTACTCCGCCACTCCTACCACCCTACATACTTCAGGTCACTATTTTTAGGGGCATCCTAATCTACACCAAGCCAACATCGAGCCAAGTAGATAAAGAGGGACCTGGGGAACTAGTTGCAGCATTGGAGTAAAGGAAGGCATGCTATCAGGTTGGCATGGACAGGAGTGGGGTCAGAGCAGAAGGTAAAAAACTGTGAGAGACAAGTATGGACAGCTGCCTGCCAAACGCAGGTGCTGAAGAGGACAGTTTCGAATGGACGTGTGACGCACCGGCCTGGGGGAGTCACTGAAATTCAATTACCACGGGTCAAGGCTCATTTACCCACGTACAGACTGCATATCACGCAGCAGACACACAGACAATGCTGAGAGATTTGCTTACTTGTTTTCAAATACAATTGTGAGCGAATCTTCGTGGACATCTTTGATGTAACCCTATAAAAAAAGAAAGAAAAAAAGACAAAATGTTTTATTTCACTTGAATAAGGAAAAACAGGCAAAGTGATCAGGGGTGGGGAGCATTAGATTTTGCATGTAAACGACAGACAGCTGGTGTGTGTTGGTGCTACACTTGTCTGATTTTGAAACTGCTGCTGGCGGGGGAAAAAATAAAAAAGAGCATTCAGGGGTTTTAGCGAGCCAAGACAGCGCTGACACCAGCTCTGGCTGTGAACTGTGTGTTGGGTAAAGTGACATGGAATACAGTCACCTTCTGGAGACAGTCTGTAAACCACACATGTTCACTGACACACAAATGGAATTACAACAGGAGCTTACATACTGTCTGTCAGTTGGAAGACAGAGGACAGGACAGCTCTTCTAGATGGATGGAGATAGATAAAACTTTATTGATCCCTTGGGAGTTCCCTTTGGGAAATTAAGGACATTCTAGGGCACATGGGAGGCTGGGTAGGCATTCTATGGCAGCTCACAGATCACTCTTATGATATACGAGCTCACTAAAATTAGTTACTTCTCGATCTATTGATCACAAGAGTTGATCATCATGATATTGTAGACCAACAGCAGCCTGGGCTGAACAACGACAGGGCAGGAGGAAAGAGGAAGGTGCGGCTGGTTCCTCAGTGTGGGACAACTATATATGGGACAGAGCATGCAGTGCATCGTCACCTCCAACCATGCTCAGGGGTCTGGATCAGGGTGTTGATTTACCACCTTTGCATCCAGTTTCAAGCAAGATCGGGGGCAACTGGGGTTTTTACAGCCCTTGCTTATCAATGATAGCTGCTCGCTCCTCTGTCAGTTTTTGGCGTCATAAACAGCAGCTGTTACGGTCATCCTGAATCTCTATGTACATCCCAAAGGCAACTGACTTGTCTTACTTCAAGCAATCAAAGCCAGAGAAGTCAGGAGTCACACTGGGAGACAGCTGCACGAGCATGTTATGTCACCTTATGTACAGCTTCCACCTTGTAGGACCAGGTCAAAGGGCAGGCAAGCCCTCTTCTATGCATGACAACAGAAAAGCAGGGGCAGTATGGGGTCATTGGCATCATGGCAGTGAAGTCTCTCCATTCACAGGCCACTACCCACATGTGGGTCCATGTGGCAACAATGAAATAACTTCACATGCAAACTATTTTTTAAAAAGGACAGACATTTTGTCAATGTAGAATGTCCTCTCCCATTCTTCTGTTGATTTTGAGTTGAATACTACTGTGCCTCTTCACCTGAAGAGTGACATTTTCTATATTATACAACAGAGACTAAAATATGTTGCAAGACGAATGTGGTTCCACACACAAAAAAGCATTTAACCTAAGTGTCAATCACTGGTCTGTTTCCTTAACCGTTTTCCAACAAAAGACAAAATACCGAGTAAAATATGATATTTGAATATCATTAACACAGACAATTCTCCACTTCATATACATAAAAGCGGCTGTGGGATAATGGACCCCAACTGAGAAGAGTGGAAAGTGCTCATTCATGCCAGAGCTGGGCTGTCACAGAGTAAAACAGAACGACAGGTGAAGCAGTATGAGAAGGGTAAATATAGGCGCATCCCTAAACCACCATGTGGTCAAGTGACAAGCTCAACGCCCTGAGACAGAAGAGACAGGGAGCAGAGTGAAAAAACCCACAATGTGGTTGAATGAAAACAGAGCATAACAGACCTAGAACATATTGATAAGGATCATTCACCTGATATCTTATGTTACCATGCGTAAGTTTGTCATCTGTAAGTAAATTTGTCAAACCCTGTGTATCAGGCATGGCATTAAATCGGTTCAGATCAAACAGCAAGACACTTCTGGTCATGTGTGTGTGTCATGTGTTGTGACTATGATAGCTTTCTGCTGAAAATGAGGGAGAATCGAAACAGAAAGCTTCACTGCTTCGACCATGTAAAAAAGGCTGAGCTTCAAAACAAACATGAAGTGCTGGGGCTTTTCATGCAGCATCTCATCACAGGGTCGTGCACAACAGCTGTCTGATTAGCTCCCCATTTATGTTCTCGATTGTTACATAACACGTTTTAAGACAAAAACAAGGGCTGTGCTGCGAGCTCTGCTTGTTACATTTAAATTTACACGGCTAATGCTTGTGGTCACGTTGACAAATATTCAAATATAGGCCATTCTTGATCATGACAAGTGCACTTAGCCTTCACTGCTAACCGAGCTAGCTACCCAGCCCACAATGGCCAGCATCAGCAGGACGCAAGCCATCCACGTTTGTCTGGACTGGACCTGGGCTCACACTAACCAAGTACAGGACACCTGGGCCTAGGTTCGAGAAAACAAACCCCGACACTTTTTCCTTAAACGAAACTTTTACAACTGCGACAGCTTAAAACTGCGTCTGTCTTGTGGTTACCTTGTAGAAGGCCCCATTCGAGCCGCGAACTTCCACAGCCAGCCCGTCCATGGTTGTGGCTAGGTCCCCACGGATGTTCTTGTCCGTAGCCGCCACGACTCCCTGCGACTCCGGTAACGTTATTACCCCCAGCTTCGCCGGCCCGTCGCCGCCCTCCGGCCGCTTGTGGATGTCCAGTGTTTCGGGTGGTGGGAGAGGGGCAGAGGTGAAGGGGTTGGGGAGATGGGTGTGAGTGTGTCAACAGCAAAGCAACGCAGATGCTCTTTCTCCAGAGGCGGCAATCAGTAAACGAAGCTTCGTTGTCCGTCCAAATATAGAATTCGTTTCTGCCGAACCGTGCGGCACCGCCACGGGGCAGTGGTCAAGTGTCGGTGAGTGCGGGGAGAAAGAGCCAGCTAATGATGCTACGGTAGACCAGAGGGTGTTAGCGGATGGACAATTAACCAGGAGGCGAGCTATCAACACACCGTACCGTTAGTTTACCGAGATGCTAACTGGCTAGCATTTGATAGCCTGTCTACGTTTTGTAGTTTGTCAGTGGCGCAGTCGCTGCAATAAATTGTTTTACGCACGTCGTCACGGGAGTCGTTTTCTTTAGGCTGCGGTGCGTTGAAAAGCAGCGTATCTTTCCCGAATAACGTCAGCGATTTACTACCGCCCGGTGACTTCTCACTCCAGCCACCCGTACCCTCAAACACACGCCGACGAAATGAATCAGAGAGGGACTGAATGACCTCAAACACCCCACCCCTTAGTAGCAACGTTCCGCCCGTTAGAAAAGATCTAGAGCTTCTATTGGTCAAACAACTCGACACTCAACAGAGTCTTTGCTTGATTTGTCAATCAAATAAGGGCTGGTCTATGCGCACGGCCAATAAAGTGCGGATAGTTGCATTCTGAAAGAACCCATTGGTTTTATGACATGTCAGTTATAACGCTTAACAAATTGACTGGCTCCCGACTAATTTTGCCCACTCATTGATAAATGAACGCGTCCAGCCATAGTGTAAACACCAATATAGTGACGTTAATTCTGCATTTGGAGTAAAAGTGATGTCACGTGCTTCAAACATTAAAGATCGGGCTAAGCCGTTTTTTTAAGATGGTTGTTTTTTGTGACAATGCCAAACCAACATTCTGGAATTTTCAGTATTAATGGGCTTTAAGTAGATATTTTCATTAAAATTACGGATATTTGGATTATAAGCTTATCATGCTTTATTGCATAACTTTGAATACATTTCATCAGTATGCGGTGTTTAGAAATAAACCTGTAAATAACAATTTTAAATTGTGCCACAAATGCTCTTTATTTCCAAATGATTTATTTGGTACTGGAATAGTGACCATTTGAGCACATGGCACTGAATATATATTAAAACACATGGGTAAAGCAAGGTTAGGGTATGGTTACAAAACTCCTGGAATGGAGCACCATGGAGGCCAGATATGGGCAAGGACTGTTGCAGGGAAACAGCTGTTTGAAGTCTGCATAAGAGGTCACAGGGGAAAGGCACAGCTGTGAAACCACATATAGAATGAGGAGAAGGTGATATGACTGACATGATGTCTGTTCTGTTTTTATTACAACAAAATATAAGACTGTAAAGTGACAAGAAAATATATAACATTTGTCTTGATTCAATGTTTTAAAAAAAACATTTTTAGAAACAACATTGTTTGCATTGGAACAGACATAGCTATGACCCCTTGATAATAACATGAGACACTGGCTCAGTGTGTGTACATAGAATGTAGTTCTCTCAGCTGCTAATAAAGGCTAAGCGCTCAATCATATCTTTTGCATTTCGATTGTGCAATTATTGTGTTCCCACGTCATTGTTGTGAGTCCACTATATATATTTTTTCTTTCTAGTATGTTGATCATCGCACACATAAACAATGTACCGGAAAACTTTAAGAGCCAAGATTGTGAAAAATAAGTAAGCACTTACACACAATCATGTCACAGCCAATTTAGAAACAATAATGGAGTTTTTCACTAGATTTTTTAAATTTCTGTTATATTAATATAAATTGGTTCTAAAGAATGTTTTCGTCATTCTACGTCATTTTCTGTAAGTATTTGGAATGTTTATGAAGAAAGATTTTTATATATGATTACTTTAGTGCGTGTTTACAAACACATGCACATTAACAACTGCCATACTAATACAAATAAAAAGTTGATTTTGTTACAAATATAAATGTTTTATTCTGATTATTAATTGTTATTAATACATAATTATCCCTTTTTACCTTTGTAGTGCGAGACACAAGATCCAAGCAGCTGTTGCAGGGGGGCAGTATTAGCCGTTGCACTCATTTGATCACATGTTCAGACAGCCAGCCAATCAGAAGATGCTTTGCTGGAGCGCGCAACTTGATTCAGGAAATAACGGGTGCACCGACAACAGTAACATTGATTGATTGAAAATAACTTCATTTGGGTAAATATGTCCATCGTTTCTGACTCTACTCTTTTGTCATCGCTTGGGAAAGGCGACAGTTTACACCAAAAAGGTAAAATTGCTTTTATTCATTCTGAAAGCAGAGTAACAAAAATAGAAGATTTAACGAGCGTTTTCTTGAAGTGTCCACTGCGACTTATATGTCTAAGTGTTAGGACATGGACTAAAAGTTTAGAATGACAGTTTTGGACCATTAAGTTGGTTAATTTAGCACTGTAAACCCCTGCCTTTCACGGTCTTTCCCCTTCAGTTCTTGCAACCTTCCCTCTGTGTGATGTGACCGAAGAAGATCTGACCCGGAACCCGCAGATGTGTAAACTTATGGCCACACTGGCCCAACATGTGGACAAGACTGGGCTCACCATGTTTCTAAAGTCAGAGCTGGACAAGGTAACAACAGTACCCTGTGCTAGGTTAGATACATCAGAATTTGCAGAATGTAGTGATTAATGATCAATTTTATACTCAAATTGCCCATTAATAGGATTTGGCATTTTGTTACATTCAATATGCTAGGGTCAATCACAAAACTATGTAATTATTACCTAGGAACTACACTCAATTATGTTTGTGTGTTTTTCCTCACAGGCTGAACAGAGGCTTCAGAACCACAGGCGTCAGTGGCTTTGCTCTGAGAGCCTCTACACAGGGCTGCAGGAGATGATCCAGGACTGCTGTGTAAGGGAGCATCATGCTACAGTACCACCAGACCAGAAAATGGTACATTTTCAACCCCTATACACATTACGAATTCACAAGCATCTGCTAGAAATTTACAACACAGTTCATTTTAGTCACAAGAGACTTCATGTGCGTTTTGTTTTTTTTAGTTCTGTGAGACTGTAAAGAGTTGTCTCGAAGTGGCCCAATGCGTCAGACAACTGGACCTCAGTAGCACAACCACTGAGGACCAGTCTTCTATCCTGGGCCTGCGCTCTGAACAGGTACTGGAACTCATGCCAGCAGAGAAGGTGAGTCAAATATGTAAGACCCATTCAAAGTGTTTTTAAGTCTAAATAAAAAGTCAAGTTTGGTCATGAAAACTGGTATGTTTATTTCATGTCCCTGCTATATTTGTGTATTGCAGAATGTACAAAGAATTAAACAAAGTTTACCCAATGAACTGGAGAAACATCTCAAGAAAAAGTGTTTCAACCTGCTCTCTTACTATCAGCCTGAATGGGGTATTGTCACCAGATAGATAACTAACACCTTCAGATCCTCATTTACATTGAAATCCCATGCACTGTGTTGTTATTATTATTCTTTTCAGAGAATGAAAGTGAGGGTCTGAAGAACAGCAAACTGTCACACCTGTCTGCCCTGCTGGAAAAAGAGAAGAAAAGGACAGAAAGTTTGAACGAGACCTCCAAGGAAAAGACACTTCTCCTGCAGAGACAGATTCAACTCTACACCTCTGTAAATGTCCCTGTTAACACAATGAAAATACAAATACAAAATGATTTTTTTCCCATGCGTATTTAATGTGATTCTTCTCCTTTTTTCATTGCCAGGAGTTGACAAAGTGTGTTCAGCTCCTCCAGTCTCTGGTGTTGGACCACAGACTCAAGATACAGACGGATCTGGACAGGAAGAAGCTGGAGTATTTTGAAGGCAAATGTGAACTTGTCTTACAGAAGATAAAGTTAGTAGATCTTCTCACTTGACTGTCCACCGTGAACAATGAATCTATGTCAAGACATGCAGTAATTAGAGACTTGTGTGTATTGTTCAAGACATGCAGTAATTAGAGACTTGTATGTATTGTTATTATCTATTATCTATTATTTGTTTAGTTATTGGTTTATTTGGTAGTAGGTGAATACAGATCACAACAGACGGAGGTTTTCTGGTTTAGATTGTTAATTTTTTAGATGACATATTACAAAGCACAAAAAGCATTGCTGAAAATCCCTTATAAGAGAACAACATATTCCAAAACCAAAACAAACCAAAAAAAAATCTGCTTCTTGTCTTTTCTTTTTTTGAAGGGCTGAGATGGTGGATATTCAGTTGGACACATACACCCCTGAAGCAATATCTGCACACAAAAAGATAAGGTAAATGTGTACCCTTTTGCTGCCAGCTTTATATTTTAACTGAATGGCTTGAATAAAAAGAAAGACACAGATTTCTACATCTATAGTTATCTTTTCTTGTTAAAATATCTGACAAAAACTTTTAAATCTCAATTTCAGAGAAAATCTAGATTCTGAGCTGAAGGCCTGTCAGTTGGAGAAGCAGTCCATAGAGTTAAAACTCTCCTCCTTTGAGATCTTGGGCAAAGACTTTGAGACCCTGGCTGAGGAATACTGCAGGTTACGGCAGGAGATTGAGATGAAAAACTGGGCCCTGAAGGAGTTTACGCAGTACAAAAACAAATGAAGTTTATACATTTAATATAATGTTTTCCGTAAAAGGCTCTTCTTTCTAGCGTGTTAAAACTCACAGGTAAAGGGTTTATTTTGTTTGAATACGTTTTCTATACCTAGTAAGTTCTTTTCTCATTATTTCCATGTATCTCTTACATTGTCACATTAAGTACAAATGACTGACTTTTAATTTCCCTTTAAAACTTTTCCTGATTTTCTTTAAAATATGGAGTAACTAACTTAAATCACATCCTCTTTGTGTAGGACTACAAATCAGACTTACATTTACTCCAAGTTAATACATGTTAATCACCCATTGGTAGATGCATTTTACATCACGGTAAAGGCACACATTATTTATTTACTTTTGCTGTTGTTAATTTTTTTTAGAGCAATTGTTTAAATCACCCTTCTTTGGAAAACTCATACTCCAAGACTGGATGAAATTTATTTTGACTTGTAGTGTGTGTCTCATTATTTTGAAGTTAATTCAGGCTTGAGGATGTACATATAATGTTCATCTTAACGTTGTACTATTATTTGTGTCAGAAATCCTTTAACTGATGCTATTTTGTGGCTGTTTCTGTTAGTGGTTGTTGCATTTGTCTGATTGTTCAATGTATGTGTAAATAATTCTCAATAAATGTTGATCTATTAATTTTATCTTTTTACAACAATCCACAGGAGTTGATGACAGATGACCTTACACACTTTGGGGACAAGTGATTCCCATTGCACAACAGGCCGTATATCAAAATACTACGTGTGTAATGTTACTAAACAAAATGTACATTCTATACAACTTGTGTATATGTAATAAACTTATTTCTGCTTAGTTTTTCCCTTTAATTTTCCTATATCTATCTATCATCTATCCATCCATCTATATTTATCTCAAGTATCTGCTGATCTTACTTTCTACCACAAGTGAACAGAATACCCCGATACTGTCCTGCACTAACTGTCTTTTTAATTTTGGTTCAGTAATATTAATGGCAGTTGATATATTAATTAATACTCTAGGTGGGGCTGTGCCATGTCAACCCAGTTTCCCATTACAATTGAACCAAAACAACAGTTTTTAATAATGCCAGTATTAAAACGTTGAGGCATTCTTAAACAAAAAACATAAATCGCAAATTATATAATTGAACTTGTAAACAAATTACTTAATCATATTAAATACAAGGCTGTTGACTGTTACAACAGTGACCCCTTGTGGCAAAAGTGCATAGCTGAGCACAAAACGACAAGTTAGTACAGTACTTCAGATTTCCACTCTTACCGAGAGATTCGGCTGGGGCGACAAATTAATCGACGACGATATTTGAATACATTTTTGTTGTATGTGCTTATTTCACATGAACAACAGGTGTGATGTGAGGCCAAGCTACTGAACTGACTGAGCAAGATGCGACAAAAGCTATTTTTCTTACCCAAAATATGATTTATATTTGATATATGAAAAAATATTTTATGTATATTTACTGTATATATATGTTATGGTGCATTTTAAAAAACGTTATATAAACATATATAAATTAAGTTTATATAAAATTAAGTGAATAAAAGATACTCTAAGTGTGTCCTCTAGGGGCACCAGAGCACTTCAGGAGGAGATAAAAAAAAGCCAAGAAAAAGAAAGGCAGGGTAGAAGACAACACGTAAACTAACTCACACCAGAACTGAGTGAATTTGTTTACCAAAGTACTCTACTACTGCAAGAAAACAGAGGAAATTTGACAATAACGATTTAAGCCAAGTGTTTTATTTGCTCATTCATAAAATGCTTTCGTTGGTTATTTATACATGAAAAGAAAATATGTGTACTCACTGTTGTGTCATAAATACGTTAGTTAAATCGTTTAAGCCAGTTAAATATTAATACTATTATATTAATAAATATAATAATAATTGTCTCCAATAAGCAAGCAAATACATGTTTCTATACTTGTCTATGCTTTTGTTAAATGTTGATTAAGTTTTATGGTATTATTTAAGTCAGGTGACTTTAAAAGAAATGTCTAGTGAGACTTCATGGTCGCTGAATCATAAACGATCTCTGACAAGAGCTATCCAATGGCGAGAAACGGAAGAACGGTCAGAGTGATGCATCTTGTTCTGTTCATTTCATCTATGGTTCTCTCGCAACAGCAGCATCAGCTCCGCCTCACCACGTAACCGCTCCTCTCCTCCTCCACTTGAGCTCAGTGACCGCATCTGGCTGTCTGTCACAGCGTTTCCGCCACGGCTGCTCCGGGTGCTGCGGCATGTTAACGTATACACCGGCGCAGAGAGTGGACTTTTAGCAGAGGGACATCATGTCTGAGGTGCGCAAATTCACAAAGCGGCTGAGCAAACCTGGGACTGCTGCTGAGGTCAGACAGAGCGTCTCTGAGGCTGTGAGGACCACAGTAGACCTGGTGGTGAGTGACTGCCGTCTGTCTCTCTCTCTCTCTCTCTGTCTGTCTGTCTGACTGGCTTAGATCAGTGGGACATTTATGGAGGAAATGTTAGGTTGTTGCTTTCCTCGGTTTTCTCCACTGCATTTGTCTGCATCTGTCTGCCGAGCTGCTCTTCCCCTGAGCGCACTGGAACGATTCTCCACGCACCCTCCCGCTACATTCCTGGGTCATGTTAAAAAGCGTTAACACGCTGCATAATCATCTCCCCTGTGTTGTCTGATGGAGAAGCCTCACCCTGCGGTGGAGCAGCATTAGAAAACAGCGTGACTTTGTCCACAAGGAGACATGGTTTTTCTGTCCTGTGCGCCTCCTTTTGTGTGATGAGGAGCGGTGCCAGTTGGACAGCTGCGGCATGGCTTCTCCGTCCTTGCCTTGGAGCAGTGGCCACATTGAGCAGTAGAGGAAGGCAGTCTTGGCATAATCATCTCCGTAATTGAAGTGTATTGTGATTGGCGTCTGTGTCAATCCATACGTGTTCTCTCCTGGTTTATATGCCGCTGTCTTTAGGAATAAAGAGCGGCGCTGCTGCCGTGTGACACAGCGAAGAGAGCAGACGCATTTAGATTGAAACGCAGTCCAATGCTGATGCAGCACTTGTGTGTTGGCGTGTTTGAAAACATTTCCATGTCAAGTCTAAGGAAACTCGCGGTGATGCTGCTGCTGATGCCTTGTTTCCACAAGGCTTGAACGAAAACCACGTGATGAATCACACACGCACACTAAAGATGTGACAAGGACAAAGTGGAGAACAGAGTCTTAGAGAACATCAGAGCCGCTCAGCTGTGGCTGTGTGTAGACTTCAGACAGATCTGTTTGTGTTACAGATAAAGAATTGTTCCCTCGGGAATGGCGCTGCGGTCCTGTGATGAACACGTGTGTGACGGAAAGACGTTCTCCAGCTTCATATTTTTTGTGATTTGTGATTTTCACAACAGAGGAGGACACACGTGTGTTTTGCGTTAGAAGCCATGCTATGCAGCGCGTGGCCTCGATTATCTCCCCCCCGTTTTTCTAAAGTGGCAGCAGGTCAGTGGCCCACTTTCACAGAGTTGTCCGCATAACAAAGAACAAATGATGTTTTGTGGTTCGCATCCCTCTCACATGGGGATTCCCTGAGGCATGTTGTGACCATGTTTCCTCTCTGTCTCAACAAAGTCCCTCCTGTATCTAAATCTGGTTCTACATGCTCGTTTGTGGCTCTCCCTCCTGTATCTAAATCTGGTTCTACTGCTCGTTTGTGGCTCTCCCGGAGAACAGACGTGTTGTTTCACATGTTTCTGCACCAACCCAGGGCCAGTGATGGGTGTGATATTACCTGTACATTAAAATATTTTAACCAACCAATATATGTAATGGTATCCACTAGCGATGTCCGATATTAACTTTTTGCCGATATCCGAGATGCCGATATTGTCCAAACAATTAATTTCCGATTTCCGATATCAACCGATATAGCAAGGTAGTGGTGGCCTAGTGGTTAAGGAAGTTTACTAAGGTGATAGGTTAAAGCAGTGTTTCTTAATTATTTTCTAGGGGATAGAATCCCCCCCTCCTCTCGGTAATATTTACCTAATTATCTTTACAAACTACTGTATGAGTTGCTAGCACCTGCATACAATCCCCTGATTAGTAGAATAAATTAACAAAATGAGCTGCAATGCTGCCATCTAGTGACTTTCACTCTCCTATACAACCATTTTCCCCCCAAACTATTTTTAGGGCACACATCATTTGGCTAAACCCAGGCATTGCATTATCGGGTTTTTATTATCGGAGGAAAAACCCATAATGATTCTTACCGATATTACATAATTATGGACCCTAGTTCCCAACAATATCAAATGATGATAGTCTGATATTCAGCAATTTACAAAGTTAGTCTCTCCCAAACTTTTAGTTTTAATAGTTTAGATTGACGGATTGTTGCGAAGTCTAATGACATTAGTAACAGTATTAACATATTGGAATCATGTAAAAAAATTGAATCTGATAAAGAACAGGGTAGCAAGTGTTTGACTTATTCTTGACTGAAAGGCAGATTTAACAAAACACATTCAACTGCTTTTTAGCCACACCTTATTTCATATGTTTACAAACACTGGTGCCTAATTGGCACATGCTCTGTCTTTGACTCAGCCTCTACAGTAGGATGGATGGTTATGAATCCGTCATGTTGTCAGTAAACAAAACCAGTTCTAAATGATGATGAAGTATTTGATTTATATTAAATGCAACCATTAGCTAGAAAAAAATAAAAAATAAAATCCTTGTTGACAATGTGAAAATACATAATGAAGTTGACCATTAACTTTTTCAGTAGTGATGCGTAGGCGGTTAGCATTTGGACGATGTATATTGGAGAGACCTTGTCAGTCCACATCCTGCCTGCAAGCTGTCTATTTACAGGCCACAAATGTGTCTGGGTTTTGGTTTGGTGAGCACTCGTCAATGGACTCTTCTAGGCTGTTAGAAAGACTGGCACATTTTTACTTTAGAAAAAGTACACTTATTAATACTTTACAATCTGTATGAGCTAATATTGAGTTTCTTTGTGTCTTTAATTGAACTGAAGGTTCTTTAGCCACCTCCTAATATATAGAATAGTCTTATTTTCTAATTGATTTATTTTATTTCCGTATTTATTTGAATCAATGCCCAAATGGAAATGGACATTTTGTATGCAAAAAAGTATTACAGCGCCGGATCTTTGACTCATTGGAAAAACGTCTTTGTGCACCTTTTAATATTTGCATTTGACTACTCCTGATGTATAATATGAACCACCTGATGTCATTTATGATGTCAAAGTCTTTATTAAAAAAAAGGAATAAAATTCAAATCCTCAAACCATCCTGCTAACATTTATTTCTTCTCAGGAAACACCTTTTTTTTCCACTAAAAACCACCTGGCGTGCACTGACAAGCCTATATATTTAATTGACTCAATGAGCTTAACGATCAGGGAGTGCACACACTTTAAAGGAGTGGGAATTGGCACAATGGACTTTAACCTTGACAAGGGAGTATGGAAGCGGGTGGGGGGGCAGTTCATATGTGAACTAGTCAAACACAGGTGCAGCTAATTAACTGCTGCTGTGAATCACAGTCATTGGTGGAAAAGAGCCGTCGTTAGCATCATTATTTCCACCTGTAACGAGTGCCATAAATTCCGTTGAAGCTTATTTGGAAAGTGCTGGCACAACTGTCAAACTGCTCAGCTCTAATGTGACCAGATGAAGAAAAGAGGGAACGGTCTTTAGGAGACCAGGTAGGTGGAATGTGAGGAGTTCTGGCTTATGTTGAGGATAATATTAAAAAATAAAAAAAAAAATCTTAAGAGAACTGAACTTGTTTTGTTCCGTTCTTTTCCATCTGCAGACTCCAACAGTAGGAAGCCTCAACGTGCCTCCTCCAATAATTCCTTTCATCTGTGTTGTATTTTTTCCAGTTACTTAAACACGGACATAAACCTCTGGTTTATAAACAAAAATGAGTTCCAGAGGTTCTTTTTTTTTTGGTTTTCTAGCTGTGTCACTATGCAGCTGTACTGTTGTTTGGAGATTTGCAGTGTTATTTAACAAAGGTGGGTCAGATTTAAAAAGAGCAGCAGCATAGTGGTGCAGTGGTTACCACCAGAGCCTCTTGGCTTGAAGACTGTTTTCTTTTTTTGGTCATCTTGGCCTTTTTTTTTTTTTTTTTTTCCACAATCCAAAAACATGCTTAGTCTTTCTGGCACAATGCTGCATTCCTTGTTAGCTGGCAACTCCTCCACAAAAACCAAGTGTTTCCTTTTAGTTATTCATATCAACAAAAACATTACGTATGATTCTAAAAAAAGGATTTATTTTTGCATCAGCTCTTCCAGATTACCCTCAGCTACAAATAAAAAAAAAACATCTTTTTTTTAATTTGGAACAGCAGTATCCTGAAGTTTTCTACTGGCTTATTGAAGAAACTAGTGAAACAAAAGTGACACAAAAAATTGTTTTACATACATGTTTTCTGAAGTTGATGAGCAGGGATCATGAACTCCTTTTCGTGAATTTTTATTTTATTTTTTTTAGTCTGGGATGCAAAATTTGGGAACATATACGTGGTTTAAGCTGTTCCTGCAACTCTCAGATAAAGGAATGTATATAAAATGTCTCGACCAGGAAATTCACAGTAATGTTAATGTCGTACAGCAAAACAACAACAACAACATCGAGAAGGAAAACATCTACCAGGCTTCTCCATGTCCCTTTTAATGGTTTGCTGTGGGAACGAGTGTTTGACACAGGCAGGCAGACTGAAGCACTTACTGAGGTCATCTGTGGGACACGCTGCATGTGACGTCCAGGCAGTCGTCTCATATGTTTAACTGTGTGTTCCACAAGCCAATGTGATCAAACCCACCTTATGTCATATTGTAGCTGTGAGGGCCTTATATTGGGGGGTAATGGAACACACATCTAGAAATGTATCCCCACTATCACTGTCGTCATCATCATCATCGTCATGATGTAAAAGTCATGAATAAAGGCTAGAATGCTTTTATCATTTTCTGTGCCATCTATTGAAGAAGTGTGGGTATTTCAAGGAAAAGGCAGAAGTATATTGATAGAATATATAAATTATATCATTTGGAAAAATTTGTCGTGCCAGATTAAAAGGCTAAACGGGCCGCATGTGTCTTCAAAAGTTAAGACTTTTTGATATGTTAAAAAAGATTTATCTTAAGCAGAATAGTTTGACATACAAGGGATGATTGAATGAAATAATGTTTAACTTGGATCTAGTAAGGCTGGTTTGCAATTTGATTAGTTGTATAAAATTAATAAATTATACATGTATTTATTTATTGGGAAATATAGTGTGTTTAAATGAAGATTATTGGCACTTTAAAGCAGTCCTTGTGAATGTGTGATTTCTATGGAAGGGGAGGTGAACAAGCGTGTTTCTGTGATTTCTTTTCAGTGGAGACGCTAACCTCACACCACCCTTGAATGTCAAGTTCTGTCCCCGAAAACTGAACTTGCTTTTACTTTCCCCTATCTTACCCTCTCTTTTTCTCACCCTCTCTGTAATATGATCAGTGTGGCCATTGAGCCACTGTTAGCTTAAACGTGTAATGCGGCGGGTCAGCTGTTGCACATGACAGGAAACTGAGCTGCTGCTGCCCCGGCTGCGCTTGAGCAGATGTTGTGCCTCGTTTCTATTCATGCAGTTTACCTCAAAAAGTCATTGCATGTATAACTGTTGTACTTCAATGTGTTGTTTGTAAAATGAGGAAGGAAATGCATTGCTCACTTCACTTTTTTGTGCAAACACACAAATATGTTGAAAGATGAATTATGAAGTAGTGGAAACCTCAGATTAATTATTTTGGGTGTCATTTTATTACCAGATTTCTCCTACTGCCCACTCCACCAGTAGGAAATCCACATGTGGATGGAAATAAAATGAACCACAAGTGTAGAAAACTACTTGTATGTTTCCGTCTGTTTCTAGAAGTTCTCCTTTGCTGCTGTGTGTGTACTACCTGTAGTTCCTTTAGGCACAGCAGCCAATGTATGGACTGATTTCCTCAGAGCAAAACTGAGGAGTCTGCACTTTTGCTCAACCAAGGCTCATTGGCTGAGAAACGCGTCGCCTCTACTTAGTTTAAGTGGAATTTTGTTGGAAATGAAACCTGACTCTCTCTGAGTTAGTACAAGTCTGGGCCTAATTATGAAAGACGACATTGTGAGACTGATTTCATGTCATCCACTTCTCTGTATAACTCATGACAGGAAGTCCTAATATTGAACGCACACACTTGATGTTCGGTGTTTTTGGTTCTCTTGTGCATTTTTTGTCCGTTGCTATGCCTCCGCTCAGACAACAATCTTGATTTTCTGAGCCCTTATTCGACTCTTCCCTTTCACATCGTGACGTGTTTCTTTGACTCACTAACACGTCTGACCAACTGTTCTCTGGCTGATTGAAAGTAGCTGTCTTTTCGCTCTCTTAATGTAGGTCAAACGCAGCAGGATGGCAGTTGATGAAAAGGCCTGTCGATGTACTAAGACCTGCATGGATTTGTTTTCTTTTTTCCCCTCTCAGGAGCAGCCAAAAATTATCGAGCCGCTGGACTATGAGGCTGTGGTGTTTCAGAGAAAGGCCCAGATCCACAGTGACCCACACAGAGATCTGCTGCTCTGCCCTGTGGATGATGTTTCGGTGAGTCCGCAGCATCTCCAACTCGTGAGCCGAGCTGCTGTGCAGTAACCTGGACAAATGGCAAAAAATTCTAGGGGAATTTCAAGAATCTCATTTTGGAATACCCCTTAAAAACACTGTCCCACTCCTACTAACAAGAAGGTTATTTCTGATTTGAGTGACACTTGAGAGTGAACCAAACTCCCTGAGTGTTCTTTGAGTGTTTGGTGTAAATATAAACAGCAGCTTGGCCGAAACAGGAAGTTCCTGGACCATATTCCATTTTTGACCCGAGTGACTAACCAAGCACAAAAAAGTATTACGGGTGTATATTGGCAAGAATCTGGCCATAGGATACTGGGGAAATTAATATATATATTGCCATATACTGTAATACCATAGTAATACATGACAATGTATTGAGGTTTTCTTTAAACACTAATTGTTGGAAAACTGTTAACATCAGGTCCATTTGAAGGATTTTTTTTGGACATTTTGGAAAAAAAAAAAGGTTGTTTGAGTCAATGTCTCAAATACCGCAAATATATGCAGTCCCTGTACAATAAACTAGCCGTCAAAGGTTTAAATGCAACGCAAAGTGAACCAACGCCACGGATATTAACATGTTAATTGCTAATAAAAAATTGACGTCAAAGGTTTAAATGCAACGCAAAGTGAACCAACGCCACGGATATTAACATGTTAATTGCTAATAAAAAATAATTGTTACATTGCTGTAGAATACTGGTATGGTCTCGACGAACGAAACTACATTGCTGTAGAATACTGGTATGGTCGACGAATGAGTGTAAACACTTAAAAAAAAATCTGAGGCGTCAGGCTAAACTAATAGTAATAATCTATACAGTATACTATTTCTAGTACTATATAGTTTTTCTGTTATTTTGTTCGTTTCCATTTGGATTTGGACTTAAAATCAAAACTGCTCCTCCTCCACTCGTGGAATAGTCCTCTCAGAGTGTACAGCTTTTTGAGTTAACAATAGCTACAGGAAAGAAAAACATCTAGAAGCAGAGATTTCCTTACATCAATCACCCACGTGTTCAGTAATTCACAGGTCTCTTCAAAGATGTGTGCTGTGAAACACAGTGCAGGTACAGCTGTATTGTTACAGCTATTTCAGACATGTGGTTTTGTTCAGCGATATGTCTTACTTCCTGTCTCTGTTGGCACTCATCCAGTCACATTACAGGCAGCTCTCTGCATTCACTCTCACCGTTACTGCCTGATGGTTTGGGGATTGAAGAAAAAAAAAAACCCCACACATCTGTCTCTGTCTGTTTCCATGTGTCCATTTGTGTTTGCAGGAGTCCCAGCTGTTACGGCAAAGGAGAACTGTTGTTCCCGCTGTGCCCCAGAATGCTGAACGGGAGGCCAGGAGTCTCTTTGCCAGAGAGGTATTCAGACAGCCTCCTGCATTTGTAACAATGGGAATGAAATAATCATGTAAATTACAATAGAAAAACATTAAAAAAAACACTAAGATTCAAAATGGAATCTCCTATCCAACCAATGCTGTTGTTTGTCAATGTAGCAGACATCCAGCAGAGTGAGAAGTGACAGAGCATAAACTTGACTCCGAGTGTAATAATATACTGCAATAGCAATGAAACACACACACACACACACTGGTGCTATGATTTCAGAACACATCTGTTCTGCCAGAGTCTACATTTCTGTTCTTCAGCCAGCCCTAGTTACGACAGTGCATCATGGAAATAACGGTCTTCAGAGTTGTTGAAACATCCTTTGGCTAACTCCACACTATTTCAGTGGAAATGTATTTATTACATTCCTCTACGTCCCTCCACCCCCCTCCCAAAAAAAAAAACACATCTAGTTTTAGTCTCTCACTGGACCAAGTCATCTGCACAATAAAAAAAAATCATTGTAGATAATAACAAAGAGAAGCCAAGGCAGCAGTGAGGACTACTGTGACTGATGCATCCTGGAATAAAAGATGTCAAACTTTATTTTCCAAGTGGAGTTTTTTTCCTCCCAGCTGCAGCACAGACCACGGTGTTGAACTCTGTTGTTGTGATCCAGCTCTCTCTGTGTTCTCCTGTTTATAGTGCATCAAGATGTACAACACCGACTGGCACGTAATAAACTACAAATACGAGGCCTACTCCGGTGACTTCCGCATGTTGCCAAGGTAAGAACGGTGGAAGTGAATTAGAAATGCGAGGAATTTGAAAGATAAGAACGGACAGTTTTTTTAAAAAACATCCGGTTTGTCAGAGGTGTGTGAGAACGGGCCACTCCTCGGATGCTTGGGCAGAGCCATGGACAATGCTGTGTAGAAATTGAAGGAACTGCATGATTTTCTTCTTTAGGCACATTGGCCGCAGCTGTTTGGGTGCTGATAAATTCCCTCAAGGAAGTTATTTTTATCACCTCTCTCTGCACTGGTACCAGAAATTTCAGTGAATGAGATTTATGTGGAACACTTTTCTACTACTGCCACTGGAGCTCTATTAAAACAGGATACATGTTGCAAGTGAGATATTTTTGAATCCTGCCATAATGTGCCTCACGCCTGCCCCACATAAGAAACAAACGAACCCCTTATTGTGGTAAAGCACCTTAACCATGGCTCTTTCCTTACATGGAAAGAGCAGCATGCGGAGATTGATTGAATTTATTGACCGCTGACCTGCTCGCGCTGTCTTTTTTCGCAGCAAAGGCCTGAAAACGGACAAGCTGCCCTCCCATGTGTTTGAGGTCGATGAAGACGCCAAAGATGAGGTGAGAGTTGTCGGATCGCCGACATCAATCGCTGCACGGTGCTCTTGAATCAGCCGATGCTTCACAGACACAACATGCAAATGTACACCTGACTAGATTTATTGACAGGCTTCTTAGAGCTGACTGTGTGTTAATCGTTTTAGAAAATGGACACAAGACACATGTTTGGCTCCAGCGAACAGCAAGATCAGTGTCCGTGCAATGTATGCTAACAGAGCAGACATGCACACTGGGAACTGCTCACGGTGCTGGGAAGAGTCACAGTGACGTACGGCCTTCTGGTCCGTCAGCGTGACCCCAGCTGTCTGAGTGCAGGACAGTGAAACCTGAAGCAGTATACGTTCTATAAATAGCTGTTTTCGATCCTCCTCTTAACCTCCTGCAGGATGTGGATAAACTTAGACAGAGAATGGGTTTAATAGAAGAGGAAAGACAGTGAAGCAGTCTGAGACGTACAGGACAAAGACACTGCTTTTTTTTCTTTCAAAAACCTATAGTGCTTTTCTTAAAAAAAATTTTTTTCTGTATCCAATAAATGACCAGGCACTTTAACCTGACTTCAGCTGTATAACAATTACACACTGATAAGGACATGACTGTTAGCTGACAATATATAGACGTGAGTTACGTTGTGACAGGAAGTGAATGCTTGGCAACCGATCACTAACGTCGACTTTGCCTTCAAAGGGAGGCCCAACAGCGGGAGAAGGAGGAGAGCAAATTAGATAACAAGGTGGAGCAGGAGAGGAGGAAGAGGCCAGACGTGGAGAGGACAAAATACCCCTCCAATGGGATTAGTCTCATTTCCATTGCGCATGCTTGTGTGTGGAGACACAGACACACCTCGCCACACGTCGACCCTTTTTAACTCAATGTCATAGTATGAATGTCGCGTTCCTCCCCTACATTAAGTCGATTGGCCCTGTGTGCCGTGATGTGACACAGCATCAGTCGCACGATGGAGTCCGTTTCATCAAATAGTAAATATTTCACCTAATCTTCAAACGATTTGTCCAGATGTTGTGCGATCGTAAAAGACTTCCTGTTCTGTTGGCAGGGCAGATGACCCCTCGCCATCTACAATTACACAGTCTGAACATAACTCCTCTTCTTCTGCCAGAGACCTATCACTATTTTGAGTATTTGCGTGTGCAAAACTAAAAGCAAAGCCAACGTTGATAAATGCCTAGTGTTTGTTTGTCTTGTCAGGACACAGCTTCGCTCTGCTCCCAGAGAGGAGGCATCATGAAGCAGGGCTGGCTACAGAAAGCCAACATCAACAGCAGTCTGTCAGTCTCAATGAGGGTGAGTCAGCGCCAGACCTCCTGTCTGTTCATCACAAAAACGGATCATCAGGAACCACATTAACAAGCACCAGTCACACTGTGTTTTCTTTTTTTGTTGGCCGTATTTGACATTCATACTTCCTCGCCATTAATGTCCCTTTGTGTATAGCCATTAATCACACTTAAAGCTGTAAATGTACAAATAAATGAGTTTGTCAGGGCACGGGGGACAAAGAGGGGGGGTGTAAGGCAGGAAGCCCTGGCAGAAGCACAAGGAGTGCATCTCACCTCACCAGAACGTCATAAATTCAACTGCAGATGAGGCCACCAGTCATTCTGCACTTCTATGTACAGTGGAACCTCGAGATATGAGCCCTCTAAAAAACTCCCTCATTAGTGCTAATAATTCCTGTGATATAAAATAAAATGTGGTTTTATGAGTTCTTACGATACAGTAGCTGCTAATGGCAGCATGTGTGGAGGAGGAGGAGGGAGGGAGGGAAGAGAGTTGGCCGGTATGTAGACATTTGATTCTGTACCATACCTTACACATACACTACGTAACTTAAATAAACTTACTATTATGAAGAATACTGCACAAAATAGAGAGAAAATCACGTAGATAACGCAAACACAAGACTCGCGGGAGATGTGTATGGAAGTCAACAAACCCGTGAAGTGAACGAGTGAAGCGGCCACCTAGCGTCGGCGTCTGTAAGCGTGCTCGTATCTCAAATCTTTACTCGTATCTCGAAGCAACAATTAGCTCAAAGGCTTGCTCGTATCTCGGAATACTCGTATCTCAGGTTCCACTGTACTTCAGTTGCCAGAAGTGAAGGTCTGACTCACTCTTCTCTTCCCTCTCCTGAACATGCAGGTGTTCAAAAGGAGGTACTTCTACTTGTCTCAGCTCCCTGACGGCTCCTACATCCTCAACTCCTACAAGGACGAGAAGAACTGCAAGGAAACCAAAGGCTCCATATACTTGGACTCATGCATAGATGTCATTCAGGTAAACTGCGAAAGAAATTATACGATAAAAGTCCCCAGTCGAGAGTCGATAACAGACTTTACGCTGTTCATTTGATCGAATCTTGGCCACGCCCGCTGAGCTTTCACATCTTGGCATCAGTATCAAGCCCGTCAGTGTGAATCTCGCTGCATTTGTTTGGCTTCATTGAAGAGAATTACTAGATTCTCCTGACTTGGCCAGAAATGTTCAGTCCTTACAGACTGCTGTTGCTCACTAATGGAATGGCACATCACTCAGATCTCCACTGACTGGCAGGGCTGATAGAAAAGCTTTCAGTTTGCTAGAGACCCTCTGGACGGCGCTGTACATTGTGGCTAATGGGTCTATTTATTCAAAGTCCCACTGCTCTAATCCCTATTTAATTTTGCACTGATAATCGGGAAATCTAGTGTGTCTGTGTGTGGTGTGAGTTCAAGGACACGTGAAAATGAATTCAAATAAAAGTTCTCATTTGAACCCTTTAGAGCCAAAAGATGCGCCGTAATGGCTTTGAACTGAAGATGCAGGACCGCTACAGCCACTTCCTGGCTGCGGACAGTGAAGCAGAGATGGAGGACTGGGTGTTGACTCTGAAGCAGGCTCTGCTGAGCAGCACCGAGGCTGGGCAGGACAGGCGGAACGGCACAGAATCCCTGGATTGTGCTCTGGGTTAGTTGCATTATAATGTTTTTTCATTGTCAGGCCTGATTGGAGATGTTCCACTATCCCCTCATTTAGTTATGAAAGGTTTCTTTATTCTGCTGACTATAATAATAATAGTAATATTGATTGTACTGTATGTTCAAGCATAGCCTCTGAGGCTGCTGTAATAAGTACAGAGCCTTACTGTAATCCCTCTTTTGGCAGTGGGGGGAGTCCAGACCTCTAGCTTCCATGTTAACGGCCTCGTATTACAGTAAAACACTGGTAAATGTCTTAATGTGACACACCGTACCGAAGCAAAGTTCTCGCTAACGTCAAAGCTTATATCAGATCCTAGGGTTTTATTTAATCATATTTCTTAGTTTAAATCCTTTACCGTAGCCTCTTCCAGTGAGGATTCAGATAAAACTGCTCGACTCGTCGCGTTTCCTGAGCTGTGGAGGAATTCCAGCTCGTCCATGTAGCTTGCTGCCAGCATCCTTGGACTAATAATATAGTGTCTGTAGAAAAATTCCATTGAAACCCAATAGCCTTAGCTTTTGCACACAAATCTCAAAGATGCTGATGAGATGTTGGGAGACCATCCAGGAGGACGGAGGTACTGTTGGAGTTCAGTCAGTCCATTATGATTTCCACCGGGTGTCAGCAGAACAGTGAATGGCTTCTTTGTAATTTAGCCAAAGAAGTCTAGTAAAAAAAAATAAAAAAAACCACGGGATGGATCAGGGGATCCGTTGTGCAGAATTTTTACCGAGCACAACTTCACACTAGATACTGTTTTAACATCAGACTGTGGTATATTTCCTAACCTGTGTTCTGTCCAATCAGACGATGACACCACCAGCCAAGGGAAAGGTGAAAGCCTGCTGGAGAGTTTGGGAAGGAGCTTACACCCTGAACTCATGAAGGTGGCGTTTTTTTTTTTAAATCATATTTTGAAGACTTACATATATATCTGGAGATGATAGTGTGTGTATTGAAGACTGTGCCTATGGTAGTAACAGAATTTATACTGCTAAATTCAATAATAATAGTACAACCAAATGACCTGAGGCGACTGGAAAAGAGCTTCTGGTGAAAGCCTGAAAAAGAAGTATTTTATGAAAATACACCTCCCTGAAACTTAGAACAGTACTGTACATGTAGGCGTTACCTCTGACTAAACAATTCAGGTGAAAATGTTTATTGGCAAGTAATATGCTGTTTATAATTATCTTGGTGATAAAAGAGCAGCTCATTTGTGGACCAGATGTGTCTTGGAGCCCCAGCACTCGTCGTTGCTCTCTGCAGAGACCATGCAGCTCTTACATGTCGATAAACCCAGGGCTACATGCAGACAACAAAGCCCTCTGTGCCTCGTGCTCTTGTTCCTCTCTGTTTGCTCTGGGCTACTTCAGCACAGCTTTAGCGGCTCCGTGAAGAAGATCTCTAGTGGGTTTGCCTGAAGGCTGCACACAGTGGGAGCAAATACACGGAGAGGGGAAGGAGACGGGAAGGAGATGGATTAGGGCTCTTTACTGTATAATGTCCTGAGGGTTTGATTTGTTGTGACCTCATTGGATGTTTTCGTCTTTCTTCCGTCTGGGTCTGTAGTGCTGCCTGTTTGTCCTTTAGTGGATTTATGGAAACATACGTCCATGTTGGTTCGAAATACTGTAAGAATACTGCTCTAGTACATCGGCAGTAATACCATATTAATACACATTTTTTACTAATACGGTGATAATCACTTTTTACCTTTATTTCCTAATGAGAAATGCTAAAACAAACAGACACAAAGTCCATGTTCTGCCAGAGAATGAAAGCCATTATGAAATTCATGTTAAGATTTTTTTTTTGCACACATTCCTCCATTCATGTCTGTAGTACGCCAGGGAGACGGACCAGCTAAATAAGATCAACAGGAACGAAGTCAGACAAAAGATTTTCTCTCTGGATCCTGAAACACAGGTACAGTTGATTCTTCTCTTGTACTACTCCAGCCCTTCATGTTTTATTCATGTCACTATTGATTCAACTTTCTGACGCCTCCTCCTCTTTTCTCGTTTCCTTTTCCTTCATGTCCACCCTGTTTCTCATCGCCTCTACTCCTCTCTGAATCTCTCTGTGTGCCCTGCTGGCTACATTCTTCTCCACCTCTCTCCCATCTGACTCCCAGAGGCTGGACTTCTCAGGCATCGAGCCCGATGTCAAGCCATTTGAGGAGCGATTTGGCCGCCGCATCATGGTCAGTTGCCACGATCTGACCTTCAGTCTCCAGGGCTGCGTTAGTGAGAAGGGCGACGGCGTCCTCACCAATGTAGGTCATTACCCGACTGTCACAACATGTACTTTCATGCCATGACCCGCTTATGACAAATCAAGATGAAATTAGTTATTTTGATTGAAAGAGGAAAAAATAACCTAGATTTTGGACTCTTTAAACTGCGGTCCTTGATCTCTCTCCTCACTATGCTTCATCATTAAAAAAAATCAATTTCGTGATGATGTGACAAGAGCTTGATGTTTTTACCTGAACGCTCTCGACGCCCCCTACTGCATGTCTGAGCTGCAGTCGTAAAATGTTATTTTAGGTCTTCTCTTCCTGTATGCTGCAGCATTAGAGGGGCTGTTGGCTGCACTAATGCGACTCATGTTGTGGTCTGGATGCAGCCCATAGTCTGGCTCTCTCCCTCCACTTTTGCCGTCTTTAATGTTTATTGGACGGAGAGAGGCCTGTCCATCATGGCATTAGTGCACAGTTATTCAGACGTGTGTGGGCTGAGCTAGAGAGAGAGAGAGAGAGAGCGAGAACCAGCACTTTACTCCAAACTAGAGATCAACTTACGTTCCAAGGCAATTTCACGTCATGTAATAAATGATTTATTTCACTATCTTTAGGCCTACTCTCTTGTATGATTACACACTAAATTCATCACATCTGCAAATGTCTTAAAGGTAAAGCATTTTTTCCTAAAACCATATAAATATGGACTTGTGAGGCAGAAATATTGGTCATTCTTTCCCAAAGACTGGGTCGCGACCCTCAGGTGGGTCGCAAGAGATTTGTTTTTGGGGTCGTCTCGCATCATGTTTCCCAGGAGTTTACAAATAATGTCTATTGACTTGGGTCGTGAAGGTTTGTGACTTTTAAAATATGGGTCCCCAGGAAATACGTTTAGGAAACACTGATTTAGAAGACATTATAGTATCATAATCCACCAGTACTGCTGGTGCGTAAAAGTGTATATTGCTCATCTCTTCACTGATTCTCAGGTGGAGCCTTTCTTCATCAGCCTCGCCCTCTTCGATGTCTCCAAGAGCTGTAAGATCTCGGCGGACTTCCACGTTGACCTCAACCCGCCCTGCGTCAGAGAGTTGCTGACAGACACCTCAGGCCAGCTCTCTCCATTCTCTGACTCAGAGGGTGGAGGTGCGGCAGAGAGCGGAGGAGCAGGAGGAGGACCAATGGTGAATGGAGACTCTGGGAAAGGCAACAGTCTGCCTGTCCTACAGAGAGTGTCAGAGGCCCTGCTGCGCTTCCCCACACAGGTAGGAACCTGAACGACAGGAAATGACTTCTTGTGAGTCAGTAAGTTGTGGCCGTGCCGCTCAGGACTGGATGTGAAATCCCGACTGACTATTTGTGTGGAACAAAGTGTGAAGAACACAGTGTTTTTAGTTTTTGCAATATTCTGATGAACGTATCCTCGGGCAAATGAGTAATTCTTAAGGAATCATATCACTGAATACAAGTATTTAACATTGCGTAATCATACTACGAAGAGCTAAAGTTTGAAATCATTTTGGTGGCTGCTGGCCCGCTTATACACAGAACTACATGTTCAGGATATTTTTTGTGAAATTATATTTCATAAAATATGAATAGATAATAATAGGTATCTTATATACTTAACTATTGTTAATTAGGTTCTGACTGTACTGGTCCACCTCACTTGGTATCTAATCAGGTTGTGACCTGAAATGAGTTTGACAGCCCTGGTTTATGATGTGTGTTTAAGACATGAGGCAGCTGAGAGGATGTCACCAATACAGTATTGTGTGTCACTTTATTAGAAAATGGCTGAGATGTCGTGATGTCAGTAACACAGAGGACACATTGCATTCACTTGTGGCATGAGCATCAAAAAACTATGAAATAACTATCAACGCTATGGAGAAAAAAAACATTATTCCTGTCAGAAATAATAGCAAAATGAATAGAAAGTATTAAAATGATGTCAACAGGAAACGCAACACTTCCTTAGCAACCTTCAGGTCATGCTGTATACAAGCTGTTTACCATCACTAGGCTTTGCCGTCCTGTCTCAGGGTGGGGGCGGGAGTCGACTCCACGCCCCCCTTTTTTCATCGTCACAGAGCTCTGTAGACCTGACGACGGAGAAACACAGCTCTTCACTCAAAGTTAAGTTAATAGTTAAGATAATAGTTTTCATGTGAAACATTGAGCTCACGCTGCAGAGTTTAGAAGTCTTCCTACCGTAGTTTCCTTCTTGTGTGCGCGGGACGTGATGCAAAGCTTTATGGCTGGTTGCTTCCTTCCTCTTCACCAGTGTGTTCAGTTTATGGGTTGAAGCAGAAGGCCGTGGGGGGAGCATTCGTATTCTGGAGCTGTTCCTGCTGCAAAATGAGCAGAAACCTACAAGCAGAAAAGCTAATAAATCAGCCGCATATTTACTTTTCTCTCTCATAACTAGGAACAGATCTGTCATCGCAGCTGATGGAAGGCAGGGAGAAGTAGTAAAAAGACAAGTAGAATGTCAGACTCCACTACGTTGTAAACACACGAGGACATTTGCAGTAGAGGAGACGGCGTTTACTCTGAAGCAACGCAGTAGTTTGCAGGCAGCTGGACTGTCTGGGCTAAAAAACAATTAAAGAACTTCCATATGTTTAATCTCTAAAGACCTAATGTTACGTTCTGGTGGCCCGCATTTGTCAAAGGTTTTCACCAGCAGAACACACACTATACATAAATATGGTAGGCTGTGCCTCTGTGATTAGCGGCTGTTCCAGCTCAGCTGACCACACTTTAATTTAGGAGCTCTGGGTGTGGTCCAAGGACGGGCCCTTGTGTTCTCCATATCCTTCTCCACTACATCAGCAGCATCTGCAGCAGGCATCACATAATTGAAAAATCCAATACATTAGCCTGGCATTTGGCTGTAAACTGGCAGCTGTAGCAAGGTTTTTTTTTTTTTTTTTTAACTTTGATACTTAGTGCTAATAAGCTATTTTGGCTGGAAATGTGGGAATCTCTGTGTTGAAAATATATGGTGATGAGTGGCTTATGAAAACACATCAGGATGCCAGGGATTGGAAACAGATGCAGCCAGAAGAGGTCAGATGGGGTCGCTGTTTGGAGTGTGACTTGACTGTATGTATCTGGGGCTTCTAATGGAATATGGCATGCTGGACATAAGTGTACCACTGCTGTAATGCTTGAATGATATCAAGCCTCCAGCCACTAGGTGGCAGCAACTCATACAGTGGTTTGTACAGATAAAAATATACATGTTATCAGGTTCTCAGTAGTATTTCAATTTGTGAGGTTGTTGGTTGGAGGGGTGCTCGGGAGGGGGGTGTGTAAACATTTCTGTTCCCATGGGGGAGTGCGTGTCAGAAAATAATTGAGAACCACTGGTTTGATGTAAGCAATGGCGACAGTAGCTTTAAGAAAACCAAAAATAGACATGAGCACCGTGTGGTTGTCCTGTATCGCTTGAACTCAGAGCAACCATTTATTCACCTCAAGCTAAACTTTGAGTAGAACCTCTGAGGCCACTCTCCTTTACATCTATGTCATCCCTTGGATTTTCTGTGGTAAACAAGTTAATCTGGCAAATCTGTATTCATCTGACTGTCTGTCCACCTTACAGGGGATCTTCTCAGTGACCAATCCTCATGCAGACATCTTCCTCGTCGCCCGTGTGGAGAAAGTATTACAGAATGGCATCACCCATTGTGCTGAGCCATACATCAAGACGTCGGACATCACCAAGGTCTTTGCTTTTCAACCCTTTTTTTGCACAATACGAAGTAGCAACGAGCTACATTTTTTAAAATGTTTCTTTAAATTTAATTTTGCACAGACAGCTCAAAAGGTGCTCAAAGCTGCCAAGCAGACATGCCAACGCTTGGGTCAGTACAGGATGCCATTTGCCTGGGCTGCCAAGTAAGATGGGAACATATATATATATAATATAATATAATATATATATAAATAATAATTTTATGTATTATATGTAATGGTGAACAGATGTCAATGTGAACTGTGTGTTTTCAGGCCGGTGTTCAAAGATGCTCAGGGAAGCCTGGATATGGATGGCAAGTTTTCTCCACTCTATCGCCAGGACAGCAGCAAAATCTCCACGGAAGACATCATCAAGCTGCTGTCTGACATCAGGAAGTGAGTCGCGCGGACGTGTACAAGAGACGGTTGTCTAACAGTGCACGTTTTATATGTATTTTTTGGCTCACAAAGTCCACATTAGAACATTAAATAACGGCTCACAGACTTCTTCACTTATTCAACGTTGACACATTAACCTGCATATCAGCTTATAGTGCAAATGTCTAACACCCAATGGTTGTGGGTTGGATTCCATGTTCAGTACATTATATGCCAAAAGATGGCAAAACTTTCAGGCTTGTTGAGTGGTCGTCATTAACACCATTAACAACTACTACATTAACATCTGTCACCAACAAACTACACAGCTGCTTCTGTCCAAGTGGAAATGGCAAATCACTGTGTGTGCCTCCAACCAGAATAGCTCTTTTGAGGTGGACTGAGCTGCCGTGACATGAAGTCCCATTTTTTCATGTATTATAATCAAGAGCAGTC